ACCTGCCGTTTGAGGATGTTTCGGACATCCGAGTAGAAATATTAATCGGCTGTGATGTACCCGAGGCGCATTGGGTTCTGAACCAAAGGATAGGAGGCCGTAGATATCCATATGCTGTGCGCAAGATGTTCGGTTGGATAATTTGCGGGCCACTCGGTAATTATGGTAATTACCCAGCCTCGATCAACTTCATCTTGCGGCCAGATAACCCCGTAGAACACGACTTGGAGCGACTTTACAATTACGAATTCGGCGACATAGCAGATGACCGTGTATCTATGTTGAGAGAAGACCGATCAGACCTGACTGTCGTCACCGAAACGGTACGACACAACGGAATCCATTTTGAAGTGCCGTTACCCTGACGAACGGGATACAATCGATTGGCAGACAATCGAGAAATAGCCTACCATAGGCGCAACTACCTGAAGGGTCGATTAAAGAGGAACGCACAGTTGAAGGAAAACTACTGTAACGCAATCTAGAGTTAAGATATATCGAACGCGCAATGGGAGAAGTCGAAAAGAAGCAACCATTGTGGTACCTTCCGCACCACCCTGTCTTCGATTGTGCTGCCAATTGTGCCGGGATTGCCCTAAATGACCGTCGACTGCAAGGCCCAGACCTGACTACTCCACTGATTGAGGTGTTGTGCAGATTTCGTCTGGGGTCAATTGCAGTAGCAGCTGATATCGAGGAGATGTTCATGCAGGTCAAAGTCCCCAAGGGGCAAAGGGGTGCTCTACGGTTGTGGTGGTGGCCGGATGGAGACCTAGACGGACCTGCCCAGGAGTATCAGATGACGGTGCACCCGTTTGACGCGATATTCTCTCCCTTCTGTGCAAACTTCGCGTTAAAAACGACCGTGAATCGATTTGCTCAGCATTTCGAAACCCCGGTGGGCTCCTGTGTTGAACATAATTTTTATGTGGACGACTTCTTGGGATCCTTTGAGAGCATCGAGGAAGCAGTTCGACACATTAGGGATCTATCCAAGTTACTGCTCATGGGAGGGTTCAAGGTGACCAAGTGGATGTCCAACAGCGTTCATGCAATCGATTGCGTCCCAGTTGATGAGCGGGCGCCGAGTCTCCGTGAATTGCAGGGGAATCCATAACCAACAGATAGAGCACTTAGCGTGCAATGAGACTCGGAGAAAGACGAATTCTTGTTCCTACTCCAGTTACCTGAGACGACAGCGACTCGCAGAGGAATTCTATCTTCGTTGGTCAGCCTTTACGATCCAATGGGGTTCGTCGCACCGTGGCTACCTTCGGGAAGATTCTGCTGCAAGACTTGTGTAGAAAAAAGGTTACTTGGGATGAGATTCTATGCGAAGCGGATCATAAAACTTGGGAAAGCCGGGTAAAATCACCTATTCAATACGATTCTCCGTCGGTTTTGGATAGTGAAAGGGAGAGCTACGGTGAAGCATATTTTCGGCAAGTGTCTCTCTTGTCGTTGGCAGAATGCTACATTCAGCAAACAACTGATGGCATCGTTACCAAGTTCCCGAGTACGACCAGGTTAATGGCCCTTCGCCGAAACTGGGGTGGACTACTTCGGGCCACTATAGGTGAAACGAAAGACGTCGATGGGAAAACGATACGGATGCCTGATGACAGGCCTGCAGTCACGAGCTTTGCATATAGAGACCGTGTAAAGCATGTCCACCGACTCCTTTCTTATGGCCTGGTAGAGATTCGTGGGTAGACGAAACAATCCATCGAATGTGTTCTCCGACAACGGGTCCAATTTCGTGGGTGCACGAAAGGAGTTGAGCGACTGGTTGATGCGGTTGGACAAACACGCCGTGCAAGACCAACTGTCGCCATCTGGAACCCAATGACACTTCAACCCACCTTACAGCAGTCACCACGGAGGAGCTTGGGAACGGCTTATACGGTCGGTGCGAAAAATATTAACGGCTTTATGTGAACAATAGGCGCCGGATGATGAAACTTTGAGTACATTTCTGGTAGAGGCCAAAAAGATACTCAACAATCGACCGCTTTTACCCGTCACCAGCGATGATCTGCAAAGACTGGCACTAACTCCGAGTGACCTTCTGCTATTGAGGTCCAATGATGGTTTTCATATGTCAAAAACTATTAATGGCTGCTATACCTCTGGTTGGAAGCATGCGAACTACCTGGCACGGGTGTTTTGCAAGCGTTGGACACGAAGGTATCCGCCAACCCTTCAGGCTCGACAAAAGGTGTTGCGTAGAGAACGGTCACTGAAGGTTGGGGACGTTGTTCTTATGGCCGACGAAAAGCTACAACGCGACAACTGGCCACTGGGTGTAGTCATAGAAAGCCACATGGACTCAGATGGACTGGTAAGAACAGTGACATTGAAAACATCTGCCGGTGAACAGGTGCGCGATATTCGACGAGTGTGTTTATTGGAGGGAGATAACCCCCATGCCGTTACTTGATGGAGTTGCGGAGACCCGTCGTGTATTATATTCACTTACCTGCCCCTTGTACCAATTGCGTCCAAGTGATATTCATCCACCTGTATAAACACGTACTTCCACGTCCTTGCCATACGTTCTCTCCATTTCCTTTTCTTGACTGAGTAACTTTTTTATCAGATTGATACACAATTTATGACATTAACCTCGAAGGTGTGGCCCATGTGATTTCAACGTCTATCCAGTCACATAGACACAATCCCCTGCATGCTGAACATGATTTCATTTGTGAAACCTGAACATTAATTACACCGCCCACGTTTCCCCCTCCTTGTTTACACATCGAGACGTTATCTGTAATGATGTTCATTTGACCTACGGCTTCGCAAGAGGTCCCAACGCGTCTTCTGCCCCCTACTCTTTGAATTCCCTAACGAGCTCCTAGCAAAAGAATTCATCTCAAAGAGTGATATTATTGCTAAAAATTCGCCATTCAAACTATGAAAATTCACCCAAACAGAACCTCTCTCCAGAGGACGACCTCGACACTATCCATAAGTGAGCGGAGGTTCCCAGTGTCCATGGACACCCGCTGCGCCATCTCCCCTGCTCCTATCCCCATTGTAACCCCACCTAACAGTACACGCATCCAACAAGTCGATCTCGATGCAGTGAATTCACCTTCTCCCAACCCCCCACCACCTAAGCGTCAAAACATTTCACCTATGCCCTCTAGCACGCCGGGCTGTTCTTCTAGGTGCACCGCTTCCCCACTCGTGGAAGCAAAAACCATTTTCCCCCAAATCAGGAAATCCTCCACCTTGACCACCTTACATATAAATAGCCCTATGCCAACGCCCTATAAATCTCGTAGCACGAATACGTCCCCTAGGACTCGTTTATCTCACCAACCCCAACCCCCCAGCCTCAGCCCTAAAACTGTTGGTAAGTCCTCTGCTCCTACTCTAAACCCTTCTGCACTCAAATTAACCCGCGTCACCCCACTAATCCATAAACATTCCAATAGCCACGGCAGCTTCTCCATGTCCACTCTAGGTACTATAAATCAAAACCCTGCGGTCTTTAGACCTTTACGTACTCTGTACAATGTCCAGGGTTGCTCACCACACGCCCCTGCAACCGTTTCCAACTTACCGCGTCCTCCACGCTTCCTGAGTTATGCTCCTAACCCGAATTCTTTAACGCCCTACCAAGGGCTCACTCAAGTACCTATCAAAGTGCCTGGCCCTACCGCTAGTTGGCCCATGTCTCACATGAATCTTGAACGCCAATTCTCATGCTTGCCTGACTTACCCTCAATCAGTATCCTTAGGGCACTACACCCCATCCAACCACCGGCTCCTCAACTCCAAAATGCTCCTACCGATCATATAATCCATCTCTTCCTTCCGCACTACCTTTTTCTTCTCTCATCCTCAAATACTAATAAACCTCCACTAGGCGATTATGTTCACCTCCTTCTGCTTCCTACTCCCCAGTACCCAGCTTCCCCTGCCTGGCTCAATTATTGACGCCACCTACATCCCATCCATCTCTCTCTTAATAGTCTCTTTAGCTTTTCACTTCTTCCCATTAACTCCCGTTTGATCATTAATAAAATGGTATCACTTAAACATATTGCACGCAATTGCTTCCCAGATATCATCATGATCACTGAAACGTGGCTGCAGGAGGACTTCCTCTCAGCGCTCATCCATTTGGCTGGGTACGAGGTCTTTAGGAAAGACAGGCAATACTGTCGCGGTGGCGGTTGTCTAGTATATATCAAAGCCCCTTTTCGTACTACCTTATTAAATAGCCCTATTTTAGATAACCTACAGAAATCGATTTGGTTAAGCGTCGCATGTANNNNTGTATTTACCGCCCTCTTCAACCTCCCGTTAATTTTCTTTTATATCTGATAGGTTCACCTACCTAGCTGACCTTACACCGAAACCCATTCTTGTAGCTGGTGACTTCAATGCACCTAGTTTATCTTGGTCCACCTCAACAGGTCAGGTCAGGTCAGGTTGTACAGGACGGAAAAGGCTTTCTCCAACCAAGCGTCCAGATTCTTGCTTCGGTAGGAAGGTTTCTTCTCCCAAAGCTTCAAAAATCGTTTCAGTCGCTGTCTTGCAACTGTTTTGTGGCAGGAAACTGGTTCCGGTACGAT